CTGGTTTTCTCCGTACAGCTGTAACTTTTCACTCATAAAAGCTTTAAACCCCATATGGATGTGAATTTCTTTCCTGGACAAAGCAAACGCTGATCTAACACAGCCACTGCCACTCTTCTGGATCCAGTTGCTCCTATCCCTTCATTATGCTAACACGGTAAGACTGGGAATCTTATCCTAGTCCATTAAAAATAATTTTTAAGAAAGGTCTTCCATCTGGTTCATGCATAGCTGCAGGCAAGGAAGGAATGCTGAAGTTGGCATTACTCCTAGAAATATGACTGCCATACTATTCTCCCATCACTGTTTCTGAAGAAAATTTAAACGTGGCTTGAGTATTTCAGTTCTATGAATGAGTGACTTTTTCTTGCCCAGCCTCTCTTTCTATGATAATAGGGTTCTACTTTTGGAATCCAATGATAGCTAAGATCTCTAGACTAACAGTTGCACTGACATCTTGAGTAAGAAATTTCCTTTTAATTGAAGGACATTCTTTTGAAGAAAATATATGATGTAATAACAATGCTTTTTAGAAAGGAGCAGCAAAAGAAAAAGAGAGAGCTCAAAGTAATTTCTTTAAAGTTTAGGGTATTTTTCTTGTTGTTTTCTGAAAATATTAAGAATATTGGAAAAAAACACTGACTTGCTCTAGATCTGAGAAGACTAAGGAATGCAATGCGTGACTGCACATATAATGGATTTTCTTTTATTTTCTTTTATTCTCTGAAGGGGAAATTAGCTGACTTTGCAAGTAAGATAAAATCTACTTGCTGATACGATTTGGCTGTATATTCAGTTCAAGAGAAGCACCTTCTGCATGTCTTATAGTGACGTGAATGCAGCACTGCCAAGAAGGTTGACTGCTACCACAGTGAGTACTGCAAAAAAATAAAAGTCTGCACAAAGCATCCACAGTGCACTAAGAACAGAAGAGATGTGTGGTTCATCATGGAGGTCACACAGAATCTAATGCAACAGATAGGAATTGCAGAAGAGACAAATGTGATTCAAACCTGTCCTGATGAGGACAACATACTTGTTTCTCTCCCAGGCTTTTTTTTTATTTTTATAGACTCTATTCCATTTTTGCAAGTTTGAAATCTTTTTATGAAAGCACTGAAAAGGAGTTCATGTTTCTGTAACTGACACTATTCTTACATATATTATCTGGTAGGAAAATATTGTAATTGGAACAGCACACAGCTGAAAATGAACTCGAAACATCAGGTAAGTTTTTAAAGCTATTCTATCGTATTTTCTTTCTCTCAGACATGAGAAATCTGTAGAAGAGGCTGAACATCCTTAAAACACACACTGCACTGGACTGATTCTGGAAGGTGCTTTTGCAAGTTTTATGCAGACGTACAAAGCAGATGATACACACTGTGGCTAGAAATATAATTCTACCGATCTCTCATAATGAATGCAAAACAAAATTATTAACTGTATTACTAAATTATACACACAAATAACATGTGATAGTGAGATATGACAGCTACAAATGTTCACAGTGCCAAACAAAGTTCCCCAAACACATCATGAGTTACTATCAATGACCCAAGCTACACAGAGTAGCAATGAAAGACATAATATTCATACCTTTCAAATGAGGTATATTGAAATCTTGTGTTTTAAAGACAGTGGGCCCTGCAAGAATGAATAAAATAGTCTGTTCTTTCTGATAGCGTGTGTAAGTAGCTCTGGAATCTTTCACTTGAGTGTAATGCTGATATCCTGCTTTTTTCTGCTTTCTTACATCTGTCTTGGTATTGCAGCTTCATAGAGGATAATTAAATGGCACCTCCTCTTTCAAGAACACTTATTTTGAACACTGTCAACAGTTCTGTAAAATTAAGTTAAAGCACCAACCAACAACCTTTCCACATGCAGCCCCAGCAATACTGTCAGAACACAGAATACATAATGAAAGGTAATGAAAGTCACTGAAGGTGCTATGGTGATGCCACAATTTGTCCCCAACTAATCTGGTTTTAACGAGGACATTACAGCTACTATCAAAAAGGAGACAGGACAATACTTTTTTTCCTTTTAGAGGCTGCAAGGCTTGGAACCACACACTTCTTAATTCAATAGCCTTGATATTAATCCAGGATTATTTAACTGCATGGGAATTGTTAGAAGACTGGAAACAACATCCCACACTCTGTCTTTTTATGGTAACTTTCCTTATAGTATCAGCTTGCAGTGAAACCTGAATATCCTAATGGGATTAAACATAAAAGAAAGTCAGGCAAAAAGTCTATGGATTAGAATTTTAACTGAAGCCTTCTGTGAGAAAGACCACACCACTGTTAGTGTCCTTTTTCTCCCGATGTGTGATCCCAGTTGTGCCTAGTCAAGTGTCCAATGGAGACTCCATCAGTTCACGCTGTATTTATCCTTTTGCTCCTAAAACAGGTGTCTTGTTACTAAGAGAACAAGCACTCATGCCATTGATCAGGCTGCATTAGCCCCCCTTGTAAGAGCCTGTGATGTTCACTGGTATGAAATGCAGAGTGTAATTATGCTGTTTAAGAAGTGAGCGTTCAACTGATAGAAACCGTCACTCTAAGTAAAAGGCAGGAAACTGATGTAGTAAATATGGAAAAGGACAATGCTTTTGAGTGTTTCAGAATGTCATGCCTATCACCAGCTCCAGCCTTTTGAAATGTGCTCTCTGATAAGTTTACCTTTAACATATCTAAAAAAATGTTAATTTAGAATCTCATACTGTATCTTCAGAGCTTTCATTAGATACCGCAAGAATGCTTTTCATCTCATTTTTACTCTAAACTCCTTGAGTCCTCCCTAGCTCTGAACAATTATGTTTAATTAGAGAGCAGTTATTCAAGATGAGCAGTAAACTAAGCTCAATCAAAACTAACTTCTAAAATGTTTCATTTTTATCATTCTAGATCTCTTTACCTTGACAGTGCTTCAAAGATTCATATTCAGTCCCATAAATGCTATCATAAAACCTTAACAACAGTGTAAATTCCAGTGTGGGAGGATGTGCAAGAAGTTGAATTCCTTTTTCTACATCTAGATATGCCATTCTAAACTGGGTGACAAGAGGGGCTTTCCTCACATCATCTCAGACAGGGTGTTTTTCTATTAGTGCTCAGCTTACTGATACTCTCCTGGAAGCTAGCCAGCATTTTATCCATCTACAAAAGGCATGAGAGAAGACCCAGGAAACTACAGATCTGTTAGCCTGACCTCAGCCCCTGGAAAAATTATGGACAAAATTATCCTCGATGCTGCTGAAAGGCATTTGAAGAACAAAGCTTTTACCAGGTGATATCTAAATGGGTTCACAAAGAGAAAGTCCTGACTAAGTAATTTGATCTCCTCCTATGATAAGGTCACTCAGTGCATGAAGCGAAGGTGCTGGATATAATTGTCCTGGATTCTAGTAAGGTCTTTGATGCTATCCCTCACAGCACCCTTATGGACAGATTGTCCAACTGTGACATGAACAGCTACATGCTGCTTGATGAAGTGGCTTAACAGCGGACCTCACATCTGATTGGTGGACTGTCACTACTGGCTCAATTCTAGGGCTGGTTGTGTTCAACATTTTTATTGGTGACCTGGATGCAGGAGTAGAATGCATTCTCAGTTTGTTCAATGATGATGGCAAACTGGGAGGTGCTGCTGGCTCTCTCAAGGGACAGAAGCCTTTCAGAGGGTCCTAGGTACATTGAAGCATTGGCAATCATCAATGTCATGAAATTCAATAAGGTTAGATGCTGAGTTCTGCTCCTAGTAACATACACTCAAGATATCTGGCTAGTTGCTGTACATGTGAACAGAAATCATAGGCATTACATGCTTTAATTATTGCTTGTTTTACTGTAGCAACTACTAGATCTAGTAGTGAGCCAGTACAAAGAACAAAAAGATGGTCCTTGACCTTTTAAGTTTGTAAGTTAATTTTGAGAGAAGAGTCAATAAATGGGTAGTGTGGTACTAGACTCATCACAATCAGGTAGGCAGATCAGCAGTCAGTAGGCTGTGACTGCTACATATATCTTATCTGACAGTTCTGATTTACAGATTGAGATAATTATTGTCCATCAACATTTATAATATCATTGGTTCTTGTTGTAAATTCCACTGCTTGTTTCTTCACAATTAAAAAAAACCCTGAACTTATTAATCTGATCCGTCGCTTAAAATGCTCAGACTTTGCCCACCAAAAGTAACTTCTGTAGTATACAGAAAGAAACTGGAAAAGGAAAATAGAGCTATCCTCCCAGTTTTCTTTTTTTCCCGAAGAATTTTGTTATCACCATAGTGAAAGTAACTGGAAGCTTCACTGTTCATTTCTTTCATTTTTTAATTCCAATTTTGTGCCTATCTCAGCTTCCCACAGTCCCCTCCTAAGACCTATGGGACAGACTCTCACACTTTGTTTTCACTCAACAGACCCACTGTTTCCTAAAGATTGTCATTTGCTAGGAGTAATTTATTTGTATACTCAAACTTACGTTTGGATAAATGGGATTTAAGCAGAAATTGTCTCTTCCTTTGAGCAAGTGTTTTGTGCTTCTGCATGTTTAATTTCCATTCTGTCTGTTAGGCTTTTAGAATAACCACTTTTAAATCATAAATTTTCTAGCATCATTTGTCCTGAACAGTGTTAAATGTGCCAACATCTAACATTTCGTGGTAAAAGAATTTCCACAGCTCCAGTGCCACAGATAGACAGGTACAGAAAGTCCAGTCTGCCCCATCACATAGTACTGAGATGGTTTTCCTGCAAGTTCTCTGATGGGTAATCTTTGGCTGACCGAAGAAAGGATTAACCTAGAGTTCTCAAAGGCATGCTGACTGTAACAGGTCAATTTTATACTGAAAAACTTGTGTAAATGTTGTATTTCATACAATTATAGCAATTAGAGCCCAGATTCTAATCTCACCAAATCCGACACTATACAGAGAAACCAGAAAAATCCACTATTATTTTGTGTAATAAAAGAAAAGAGAAACAATACCTGCACAAAACCACAAATCATATAGTCATCAAACAAAGGCAGACTAGGGCGGTCCTCTCGATAAATTTTGATTTTATAGCTGCTCACAACCTGAGGACTGGGCTGCGAATCATCTGTTACAAGAACGACAATTTTGTTCAATCCAAGGCCAAGTGGGTAGTTAGCAATGCTGAAAAAGGGGAAAAAAGAAAGAAAGTGGAATTAACACTGAAGAAACAAAGATTTTCACTGCATTGTATGGCAGCTAAACTTGCTCCTTGAGACTTCTATTTCTAAAAGTTTATTTTGCCATACCTTTGTTTTTGCATAGAAACAGCACACACTGTTCTTTAAAGAGTTTAAAATTCCTTCAAGAAGACAAAATAATGAAAGTGAAACTTTGCAAGAACAACTTCAGTGGCAGTGATAATTCTGATGGGAAATCTGTGAATGAAGGCACTAGGGACAATAATTCCTGGCAGGTCCAAGTCCAGAATGAAGTCCAAAGGGAGACAAATCAGACAACTTTTGTCTGACTTTTGTCACCTATCTGAGGAAATTGTTACTAGCCAAACATGATGGAATGCCAGACTCAGTCTGACACAAAAACAAAGCTCAACTATGCTCTTCTGATTGCAGTGAAATGAGAATGCTAGAAGACCGAGCCTGCTCATCCAGAGCTTTTACTTTTCAGTGCAAAGGGCACACGGCTATTCTGTTTGCCTTTTGCAAGGAATAGCTCTCATACTTTTTGCAGACCTTCATTACCTCACAGTGCCTGTATATGTTGTAATGACTGTTAATATTAAAACACTGCAAAGATGGATGACAGAATTTTACAGGAGCTTTCATTTCAATCATAAACAAAGATTGATTTCTTTCTGAAATTACAGGAAATACAGTGGGTATAAGGCCAACAACCACTGTACAGACCAGCACTGATTGACTTATTATTATCAAGCACTCTAAATTGAAGTATCTTGTTTGCAGTCAGTCGAAAGGCAGTGTGTTGTATAAATATTTTGTGCCATAAAGAAAAACCAGTTTAGTGAATCACTTCCTTTCCCTTTTAAATCTTCAGTGCTAAGCAAGGAAATCTTTTACTAATGGTTACTGAAGCCAGCCCTCAGGTTCTACAGCACCTGGTGCAGATAAACATGCACTTCTTGACCCTCTTGATATCCAAAAGCAGGGTGGTCTGGCCCAAAATTTGTACTGGATACACATTCTGCTGTTTGTGATAAATCTGGCTGAGAAACCCAAAACTGTAGGAAGGACTACAGAAATGATTAAGCAGCATACATGATTGTGGGTGAGTGCTCAAATCTGGTATTTATTGATGACTTTGCTCTCTCACATGTCCTCCAGCATTATATCACTCAATAAGATTGGACAACCTGGTACTCTTCCTGATGTCAGTTCCTTACAATGTGATACTGATAAAAATTGATCATTCTGAATGTATACACCTGAACTTATTTTCTCTATTTCTCACCTTACCTAAGCAAACTTTACCTAAGCCAAACAATATTTCTAAAGTTTACAACGCTTTTTGCTTTTAAACATTTATTTTGTTGCTAATACCTTGGTCCTTTCATCTCATCAAGGTGGACTTGGCACTGACAGTTAGAAGGCTCTGCTCCAATCTTCACTGTTACCACGTCAAATGGGACTTCTGCATAGTACTCCTTGATTTTTGGGTTAAACTGAGGATTCAAGTCCAGCTGTGGACTGGTGAAGATCTGCCTGATATGAGATAGGGTATCTTTATCTGTTCCAAGAAGGCATCAAAGGAAAAACAGTGAAATGTATGAACATTTATAAGTAACATGCAACTTCTGGCAGATTGATAACATGCACAGTAGAAAGATTTTAACTGCCTGCTCACTGTGAGACTGATAATCCTGATGCAAAGTCCTGCTGGCTGGCATTTGAGAGCCATTTTCAGGCCCTAGAGGGATTTTAGTCACTCAGTGCCCAATGACTCTAGTCAGAGGCACAAACTTCTAAGTCTCGATAAGCATCTGAAAATGCAAGGATTAGCTCTGCGAGATCCTGCCTCTAGTTGTTTAAATGGAACTTGAAAAAAAGTTAGGCCAAAATTCATAACCTTCTTAGGTACCAGCCTGTGTACAGGGTTTATGTACATGTGTTATTGCCAATAAAAATCAAAGTATGTTAGACCTAAGAACAAGTCACATGGAGATATCTAGACTCGTGGGGTCATTTGTAGTACAGCTTGAAGCATGATTTATTAAAATTCCTAAATAAAAAAATTCCAGATACTTTCTTGTTTATAAAATCTCCACAATCAGATCCTATTTGCTCAAATGTATCTTTTATTTTGTAGTGTTTGCCAAATGACTCCTGAGAATAATCATTTGCTGGCAACTCATCTGTGACAAATATTTTAATCCAACCTATTGAAATCAGATTTACAGAACAATTACGTATTGAAAATTTTCTTTCCACATATATTATCTAGTATGTGTTTAAAACTGGGTACTTGAGAAAATACTTCAGCCAGAAAATTCTCTGTAATATATGAACTAATCTTGTGGCTTAAACTGTTTTTTTTTTTTTAAGGTTCACAAGGATGCATGCATTTCTGTGTCTTTCCTGCCTCGGTTGCAGACTAAAGAAACCAAACAGGGCAATTTCAGTAATCTTGCAGAGACAAAACAGGGCAATTTCAGTAATCTTGCAATTTCAGTAATCTTGCAGTAATCTTGCAAGTAAAGGGAGATGTTCCAGAGAAAGGGCAGGGCTAGATTTGCAGGGTAATAGAGACTCATAAATTGACAGAAATACTGACTTTATGGCACCATAAACTGTTCCCCAGATACTCTACACATTACCTAGAGGGATTATGTCACTAATTGCTAAAACCAGAGGAGAAATTTTCAAAATAAAATGAATTGAGATAACTTCAAAATTAAATGGCAACCAATCATATGGTGATGACAGCCAACCATGAACTATTCCTGGCCTCTGACTGACACAGGCACTCCTGGAAGCATGTTACAATCACTAACAGAGAGGAAAAGTAGCTGAATGAGTAGAAAAGCCTCTCCTCTGCAAAGCAATTATTTCACATTGAAAAGCAAATTATTCCTCAGATAATACATCAGTAAGGAAGGCAGAAAAAGCACTGTTGCTAGTACAGACAGCAGCACTACAAGCAGAACACTTCAGAAAACTCTTCTACTCTAAAGCAGTTATTTAAAATCACCGAGATGAGAGCTGGCCTGATATAAGGCTGATTCAACTCCATGCAAGCTAAAAAGCTAGTCCACAAAAACAGATGTATGCTAAAGTTCTTGTAAATGAGGAGCAAAGTCTACTGAAGTACAGCAGGGAATCAATGAGTGTTGGAATATGCACAGTACTCATATATAGAAACATTTAATTTTGTACTTGAGGCTCATTTAACATAACAGCCTAATTACTGAGCAATTCACAAACATTATTTCTACTTAAAATTCCCTTGTTATGTAACAGCTTACAAGCACTCAATTCATTTAAGGGTTATGTAGAAAAAAAGGCAAGAAATTTGTTCAGGTAATATCTTGTCTTCCCTCCTAGTGATTTAGAAAACCCTCGACTTACCATAACTGCACTGAATTTCTTTAGTCTTACTGGCATAAAGCAATGCTGAAAGAAACAGAAACATAAATTTTATTTTCTAATCCTGATTCACAGTCCTACGGCAAAAGGAGCTCTCATTTTGGTAATTACATTAAAAAAATCTTTGCAGTGTCAGATTTAGCTTTAGGCTCAAGAACACTGCTCATCAACTCAGCAGAACACTTATGCAGATAAGGAAGAAATTGCTTTTTTATATGGAGTAAGTCAAGATCTTCCAGCTGTAATGCAAAATTGTGTAATCTAAATCATATATATTGTCAGAAGTACTAAAAATAGGAAAGACATATTCCATATGAAATGTTTTACTCTTATCCCATACCTTCATGATTCTTCCACAAGCGAAAATGAAAGTTCTGCTTTGGAATCACATTTTCTTGAGAAGAATTCCTGTCAATTCAATAGCAGATACATTTCTACATTAGTGGAAGAAACAGAATTCATGGAACATTTTTCAAAAAATTATATGTGGCAACGCGTGGCAGATGATAATTTGATATTCTCTGTGGAAAGATGTAGCTTCTGGATGCCTGTTCCCAAAATTAGTAATGCTACCTGAATGAATGTGATAGAAAACACTTACTTCACAATAAATAATTTTATACACCATGAAGAGAAAGAAAATAAAAAATTAATTTCTAAAAAATACTTGAATTGCTGGGAAAAGGCAGAGTAGATACAGCTGAGAATAAAACAACCCATGCCATATTTCTTAACAGTTTTATATTGCTTTTTTGTATATGCTTGAGATTGAAGTTAGACGTGAACTTAGTTCATGAACTGAACTCTGGCTGATATGACCCTTTAAGAGGGTGCTTTTTTAAAAGGATCCAGTTTCAGATGTTTTTCTCCCAGTGTTTCCTGTAGAAGCCCTCATAAAGGAAGCTTATTCCCAAATACTGCCCGCTCACTTTGAATTCTGAAAGACACAAGGTCATTCTCTGTGATAGGCAGGGGAGGTTCCGTGCAAACAGCCAACTCTGATGTTTCACCAGGAACTGCTGAAAACAATACTAAAGTCCATCATAGTAAAAGGCAAACTGTCAAATACTGAAACAGATTCCTGCATTATCTCAGTGAGATAAGGGGTAAAAAACAGCTGTCTCTTGGCAGATCTGTGTGTCTTTGTATGTGCATGAACATGTAGTTTTGACATCTTGCACTGTCTAGACACCGCCCTTATTTCATGCACATTCATGACCTCTTTCAAAGGAGACAACAAACTAATAGAGAGTTTGTTTTCCACATTATAAGTCACTTAATACTCTGCTTTCTTCTTGCCAAGGAGGTAATGGCTAACACCTGTCAAATACATTTTTTTCTCTCTCCACTGTTCCTTTTTGTATTGCAATCTCCCCAAAGTAATTGTAAGGTCAAAACAAGGTGTCTTAATTCTAGAAAATGTTAGAGTTTCATTTAGCCAGAGAGCACCACATGAGTGTGGCAGCCATCACCACTGCAAGAGCCCAGCTTACTAAAGAACTTCATGACCTCTGTGCATCAATTCTATGAGGACTATGTTTATCATCAAACATTAAGACTCATATAATAGCTCACTTAATTACAGTAAGGTATCAAAATTTAATATTTAGAAGTAGTATTATAGAAAGATAGGTTACTGTACTCATCACTGCTGAAGACTTAGCTTTTCAGTCATCAGCATCATCACATTTTCCTTTCTCCAAGCTCCTTCCATCAGCAGGACTGAGGAATGGTGAAGTTATGTAGCTTTCCCTCAGTCAGAGAGTGGCAGAGGTCCTGGATGCAGCATAATCCTTTCCTCCACACACTGTTGTGCAAGAAAGGATGTTCATTTATATGAGCTGCCCCCTGTTTGTTTTACTCACTGTCTTGAATGAACTATCAAGCACAGATGAGCACACTGCCTCTGTACTTTACTATTAGGTGTAATTGTAGATGTCTGTACATCATGTACCCTTGGTATATGTATATTTGTGAGCATACCTTTTGGGAGATCTCCTCTGTGTACCTCACAAAATGTTAACAGTAAATATGTCCTCTGGGACTCACTGTGATTCAACAAAAGAGAAATCTAAATGATTGACAGCAGTTGTAGTAATATAGCTTAGCAATAAGGGATATATAGAGATAGTTACATTTCACCATAAGATTAAAATCTAGTGACCCGTCTGGTAGACTAGGAAAAGGCTGTTGATGTGGTCTACCTAGACTTCAGCAAAGCCTTTGACACTGTCTCCCACAGTATTCTGCAGAAGCTGGCAGCCCATGGCTCGGACAGTTGCACTCTTGGCTGGATAAGGAAATGGCTGGAAGGCCGGGCCCAGAGAGTAGTGGTGAATGAAGATAAATCAGCTAAATAGCTGGTGACTGGTCGCGAGTAGTGTTCCCCAGGGGTCGGTGCTGGGGCCTGTCCTCTTCAGTATCTTTATTGATGACCTGGATGAGGGCATCAAGTGCACCCTCAGTAAGTTTGCAGATGACACCAAGTTGGCTGGAAGTGTGGATCTGCCTGGGGGTAGCGAGGCCATACAGAGGGATTTGGACAGGCTGGAGAGCTGGGCTGAAGACAATGGGATGAGGTTCAACAAGGCCAAATGCTGGGTCCTGCACTTCGGCTACAACAACCCCAGGCGACGCTACAGGCTTGGGGCAGAGCAGCTGGAAGACTGCATAGAGGAAATGGACCTGGGGATATTGACTGATGCTTGGCTGAACATGAGCCAGCAGTGTGCCTGGGTGGCCAAGAAGGCCAGTGGCATCCTGGCTTGCATCAGGAACAGTGTTGCCAGCAGGAACAGGGCAGTGATTGTCCCCCTGTACTCAGCTCTGGTGAGGCTGCACCTCGAGTGCCCAATTTTGGGCTCCTCACTGCAAGAAAGACATTCAGGCCCTGGAGTGGGTTCAAAGAAGGGCAACAAAGCTGGTGAGGGGTCTGGAGCACAGGCTTTATGAGGAGAGGCTGAAGTAGCTGGGAATGTTCAGTCTGGAGAAGAGGAGGCTCAGGGGAGACCTCATTGCTCTCTATAACTTCCTGAAGGGAGGTTGTAGTGGTGGTCAGCCTCTTCTCTCGTGTAACTGTGATAGGACTAGAGGGAATGGCTTCAAGCTGCGCCAGGGGAGATTTAGGCTGGGCTTTAGGAAATACTACTTCTCTGAAGGAGTGTTCAGGCACTGGAATGGGCTGCCCAGGCAGGTGGTGGAGTCACCAACCCTCGAGGTGTTCAAGCAACGTTTGGACGTTGTGTTGAGGGATATGGTTTAGTGAGAACTACTGGTGATAGGTGGATGGTTGGACTGGATGATCTTGGAGTTCTTTTCCAACTTTGGTGATTCTGTGATTCTGTGAAAACTGAAAAAGGGAAAAGCCTGGGCACTTCTGGAGCTCTGACATATATGTTAGTTGTGAGCAGTGCAGTTTTTAATGGATCACAAAATCTATATTGAGACTATGTTCTCAGTATTCAGTTGAGTTATGAGTTTTTTTCCTCTTTAGATTATGTTTTGTAGGTCTCTGGAAAATGAGGAGCCACCAGAGATCGTTTTGTGACAGATGACCACTAGCAGATTTTCTATTTAAATGTGCTGTAGACTACTTCTTTGGCTTCTGCCAAAGAGTTTCCATGGGGGGATTTGCTTCACAGAGTGAAGTACTCTGTACTTGTTTCCTGAAGAGGAATACAGAACTGCAGACTAAAGTGTGGGATTTTTTTCCTGGCAGTTAATTCCAATTCTCTCTCCCTCCTTCCTTCCCTCTCTTGCACTCCTCCTACAGCAGATCTTATCCCTGATTTCCTTGCCCTCTTCTTTTGCCTCATAGTTGGAACTATGTTTGTTTCCCAAACTGTCCAGGGAATGAGCATAACAATGTTAAACACCAAGAAATTATTTTCAGCCTAAATTGAGTTTGAGGGCTGCTGTTTATGACTTAATAATGGGCTTATGTAAAAGAAGCTAGTAGTACTTTTCCAAATATATAAGTTGATTTTGTAAAAGCATTTGCAGCTTTATTGAACTATTTAGGCTCTCATACAAAAGAGAAAGGTTAGTTTTTCTCATAAATCTGATTCTTGTATGCTATTGTGCTGTTTGACACAGACAGGCATACTTACCACAGTACCTCAAAGCCCATGTTCTAGAAGACAATAATCATGTATGTCTTAGTCATATCACAAACTGAAGCTGCACAGAATCAAAAAATCATGCACGAACAGCAAAAAATCAGTTTAAATGTACTTTTAACGTAAATGTAGGTAGCATCCCTCCATCACTTTCAAAGGATTTTGTCTTATTTTATACCAACACCTCTGAGATTGTCATTCTCACCTGGGCTGTAACCATTTCATTGCAGTTGGAGATGAGTTTATCGAGCTCTTCTTCCTTCTCCTGTGGAACAAATACAGACAGTTCTCTAATGTCACCAAAGGTTTCAATGTAGACGAAATCAGGCCATGAAACCTCTTTAAATAATAGCTCAATTCTATGTAATCATTATCAGTGAATTGCATAACTGCACAAGACCTAAGTCAAAAGTCACTATTTTTCCCATAAGCATCCACACTGTCTGGGTGGATAGTCAGATATGCAAATCACTGGATTTTATAAATACCAAGTTTGTATAGTTGGAGAAATAAGAACAGTTAAATGTTAACAGTTAAACCAGCCAACCTGTCTTTAACTGAAGACATTCATAAAAAGTGTTCTGATGGATCTGCTTTTAAGGAGATATTCAAGATCCATAGGGATGCTTACCTGTGCAACCTATTGTAGGGTACCTGATTAGGCAGGGGGATTAGAATCAATGCTCTCTTGAGGTCCCTTCCAAGCCCTACAATTCTGTGATTTTGTGATCTACAAGCTCATCAAAAGTAGGAATCTCAAAGATTAATCAACATTCAAAGAGAATGAGTTATTTGGGGCGTATGCTTTACTCACCTCTTTCTTCCTTGCAATTATGAATAATTACATGCATATCTGACACATATATCACCTTCACTTGCATGTGACTATAGGAGTGGGAAATTATGATTTAGCAATGGCAAAACATGCTTTTTTTTTTTTTAATGGAGGGAATGTGCAGAATGGTATTATTAACTTAATCATTGCAGAAAAACACAGTGCAAAGAAGGAAATTGTCTACTATCCTGGAGAAAGGTCATGGTACTACTAAGTATTTATATACATATAGTGAATGTTCAGTGTGAAGAAAAAAGAGGCCAAGGAGTTGCTCAAAGTAAGTGAGTGGCACAGCTTAGATTAGAACAGAAAGCTGCTAAGGGTTGGTATGCTTTGATATGCAAACCAAAATATTTTGGCAAAAGGGCAAGGGCTTATACATGAATGCAAACAGCTGCATCTTTGAGTTACTTATCATGGAGTGGCCAGTAGTAACAACAATAATGTTTAACACAATCGTGGAACTGTGTATTTTCAAAATACTAATAAACAGTTACCTAACACAGTGGTGAAGTATAATTTTCACTTTGCAGATAAGCAAACAAAGATATAGGTAACTCCTTAAAGTTACACACAATTTACTGAGAAACAAAATTAAAACTCAGGAAGTCTAAGAGATGCCTTATATAGTGAATTTAGCATTCTCCAAGCAAAGTGTACTCAATAATGTTGCTGCCTGTCTTAGGACTCAGTGAAATGAAACACATCACATGCCTCTGTTTGCATAAACAGTACATATGCCTCTATTCAGTAAAGAATTATGGCATATGTGTATACAAAATGTCTCTAGTTGGGAGATAAAGAGCACAAAATAATTTTTTTTTCCCAATTTTTATAATCAATACATTTTATACTACATCTTTTAACTCTCTTTCTCTTTATTCCTTACTCTCTTTTTTATTTCATATCTTCCTTCTTTCCTCTCTGTCTCCCTCCTTATTCAAGTTTATAATCTCTCACCAAAAGCTCAGTCGATTCCATCTTGTTATGACAGTATTCTCCCAGCTTTTCAAATAGTGTTAAATCAGGATCTTGGTGCATCCTAGTCTTTGACCTGTTTCTCGTAAAATATGGGAAATTTAGAGGCACAAAAATTCATTAATCCTTTTTGGATAAACCTTCACCTACAATTTTATATTTTCTTTACGGTTTTGTTCATAATTGAATAAATTAAATTAGAGTGGTAAACACTCTTAGTTTTGAATTCACCATTTTTCAGGAACAACTTACCTAATTCATTTTACATTTCTTAGAAAAAAGAATTACTTCCAATTATTTTTTTAACTCATGGATCTCTGTAGTAGAAGTAGAAGGGCAAAACTGTCATATGTTGAGATCTAGCTGCAGCTTTAATGGCAGAATGTCTGACAGTGCTTCATGGACAGATGATGGACCTTACTGTCAAGTGATGTAAATTCACCTACACCTATTGAGGAATTATGTTTCATGGTATTCACTGCTGTTATTCCAAATTACATAGTTACAGAAACTGTTTTTGGTATATGGTATAATAGCTATCTTACCATTCTGAAAGATCTGTAAGTGTCTTTTTGGTCATGAACTGGAATTGTTCAAGCAAGCTGGTAAGCAACCAATGTACCGTCAGGACTGAACCAAGTTGTCTCATTGGGTCTACCATGTGATAAAGGTCACGCAGGAAGGTTTGGATCTTGGGTGCAGCAGAAGGGTAAAGCTGAGAAGAGATACGATGATTAGGGACTACATGTTATAATATTTGTAAATTGCACAGAACTGAGAAAATGTCAGGAGACAGTGTATATAGCATACACATATATTAATGTAAATTCTCTTTCACACAACTATAGAAAATGACTGTCTTGCCCATCCCTGCAAATCAGTCCTGCTTGTTGTACTGACATGGAAGTCTAATTCCCTTTCCACTCAGAGCCTCTAACATGACTTCCACATCTAGATAATTAATAACTAATTCCCTTGTTAAAAGTCTCATCAGTCTCCAGCCCTAACACTTAATCAGGAAGCCTAGAAGAAATCCTGGAAATCCTGATGCCATGAACATTCTCTGAACAATACATTCAGGTTTTGGTGATTCATTTCCCCAGTCCTCCACCTCAATACCAGGCATTTTCTCTCATTAACTATCATGCCTACTCATGGACACTGGCTGCCATTCCTCTATCTCTATTACTCTTCTAAAAACAACTCACTATAATTTTGAAGAAGACATATCACATATTCCACCTGTGTTTTTTATCCATTTTTTCGTACCTGTCTTTTCTTTGGTAATGATCTTAGTATTGAACAGCCTCCAGTTTTTCCATTCACACATCCTTTGCTTCACTTTCATTCTATTTTCTTACCACTGTAGACGAATTTTACGTATTTTTTTTTTCCTTTTCCTGTTTTTCTATTTTCTGGTTTATTTTTCTGCTTTTTCTTTCCTTAGCTCAAAAGTCTGTGTTTCATGTCATTTTCTCTTTTACTATAAATTCCAAAAATCCAGAATAAAATTATTATAACCTCTACCTCTGTTTCCCTATCCATTCAGTCAGACACATGCAGTGACAGCAGAGAATGGTAATCCAGGAGTAATACTAGCAGGTTCACAGAAAATACAAACCCAGTAGAACAGAATAGTTTATTTTACCAGCTCAAATTGTCCAAGATTCTTCACCTCTTTAACAAATGTCATCATTGAATTTATCTCCTCTAAAGACAAACATTGTCCATCTTCTTTGATGACGATTTCATCCTATGGAGAAAAGGGCAACACATTCTAGTGAAATTACATGGAAAGCAATGTGCTTTCATTAGACTCCAATCCTTTTTCCCCAGCAAAGAGGCAATGAGCTACCTTGTTCACAGTTGATCCATATATGTTTCGTAAAGCTTTTATGAAACTGGAACTTGAGGACTTATTGGACAATAGAAGCCTGAAAGTGTCTTCAAAAATAGCTTCTTTGAAAATTTGGTCCTGAAGATTTGATTTCTCCTCATCTTGAAAGTCAAAATTTTTATGCACCTGTTAGAAAACAATGCAAGAATTTACATTGTGTACATCAAGGCCTGTCTTCCCATTACCACACATTACTAAGCTGAAATTCTTTATTAAAAAAGAAAAGCTATAAGAGCACTAATAAAACAGACAGGATTATAATATAAAAAATGTTGTACCACATTTTCTGTAAAAACCACACGCCACAATGTTTGCTGACCTCTAGTGGGAAGAGTATAATATCTCATGCTAGTGTGAAACCGCTCTTTTCCACCTCGTTTGAAATTTGATTTTAAAAAATGTCAGCTGATACGTTAACACAACTCTTAAAAAAGTCAGGTATTTGAGTTGATATCGATGATATAATCCTTGTAGTATACAAACACAACCGATACAGTCATAAAAATATGAATAAATTATTATTTAGTACAAAGACAAATATAACCAAGCGGAATGGGTTACGTGCATACTTCAGTTTCTAGGGGACACAATTCAAAATAAAATTTCAATCGATGCTAAGAAAGTATCAACTTTTAATTATTAGAGTAACTGTGTATTATGTCATTGGAAACTATTAACAGTTCTGATTTACTGCTTTTTTGGATTATGGACTGATGGTTAAGGCTACTATAAAAGCTGGTAAACATTACACTTTATGTTTATGATTTTAAGCACTCCAGGTAGAATTTATTTACAGGTTTATAGGATCTTTGCTTGGATTATTGTTACTAGAAAACTGTAGAGATTTTAACAGGAGATGAATTTAGAAAATCATCTCCTTTAATTTCACAGGATATATTTGCTTTGCTGTTTGTATATCATACATATGGAGAAAGATTGTATATGTCCAGTTATATACATAATTGCATGTATGTATAAATGCAGTGGAAAAAAAACTGTAAAGCAGTAAATTTTTTGTTCTGGCCGGGCTGTTATTAGACAGGAATGGTACAAAATTGTAAGAAGGAGTTTATGCTAATAGTCATCTTTTTTCAGGTTTTGAGGGCCTTGAGGACTACCCAGGAAGAGGGCAGTGCAGTGGAAGAAGGCAGCACGGTGAAGGTGAAAGCAGAAATGAACTGAACAATTATGGTACAGCTCATGGAGAATGTTAATCTGTATTAAAAGCTATTAATGGCTTCTAACTTTCTCCCTTAGTGTTTTTCTTTCTGGTGCAGTTAATACCTAACTTCACTTGAATGCAGTGCTTACTATGCATTTTGTTTAGCTGATACTCATTTGCGATGATATTGCTGTAACACTAAAAACTTTATAACTTTAAATGATGTGATGAACTTCATCACAAGAAATCTGTCCTTCACCAATTGCTTCCTCCCATAGCTACTTCTAGGCAAAAATATTATTAAAGCATTTGGACATTTCTTGGAGATTTGAGAGCAACCATCACTGAGGTTTTTTTGCTGTGTTCTGTTTGTTGTAATTTTCTGTCAGTAAAGCCCTTCTTCTTTTCTTCAACAAGCTTGCAAATTCCAGGGCACTCCAGGAGGGAAAAACATAATGTAATGGTTTTATGATTTTTGGTTATCGGTATTCCACATCAGAACATCATATAGTGCACTGGGGTTAAAGAATTAATGCTCCAGATCCGGATACTTGTATTGGAAGAGAAGAACTACATTCCCCAGAAGACTGTTTGCTGTTCTGTTATCATTTCTGCTCAGGGTGAACAGATACAAGGCCTTGGTAGGTCACCTGATGTGCTCTTTTCCCTTTTTCAGCTCTCCTCCCTGCTGCTCGTCCTGACCGCATGCATCACCTCAGCATTAGTGTAAGGCCTTTCAGTTTTTGGATGCTCTTTCTCTCATTATATTTGAATATTGTCTTTAATTCTAATTACATTGTATTATAGCGTGTTATCTTGCATTTCAATACCACATTTAGTAAATTAGTTTGTTTCTCCTCAGATCGTTGCCACTGTTTTTAATTATTTGGGGTCCACTGTTTCCCTTTTCTGGAGGTATGGATGTGTGGATCCCTCTGCCCCGCTAGTCAAGGAACCAGGCTGAACCAGCCCATAAAACACTGACAACAACAAAAGAAACATTCAGTGTTGTTTGCTCACCTGAAGAACTATGGGGTGTATGGAGGTGCTGAACCCAATGTCAAAGGTCAGCATTTGAAAACATTGGCTGCATCTGAAATGGAATACAACAGAAATCAGATTCAGTGAGGACAGATATTGTAAAATACATACTACAATGACAGAACATAAATATATTTGTCCAAGCAAAGCATATGATACAGACCAAAAATTTCTAAGAAGAGTCCACAACCCTAACCAAAGATAGTCATGTTCTGAAGAAAAGAGCAATATACTAAAGGATGTCTGTATGGCTGACTTTTAAACTAGTGTGGGAAGGGAACTACACTGAAGAACAAAATGCTTTTTGATGAGAATAAGCTCCCACAAAAGTTTTGGAAACATGTGGAGTTTAAGAGATGTCTATCAGGTGGAACACTCCAGGCTCACTGAACCTAGCTGCACCTGGGGGGATGTTTTAAGGAATGGGCCAAGAACCAGAAGAAAATTTTAGGCTACACTCATAAAGGATATCTATCCCATGGGTAAACAAATATTCAGTTTGGATCATTATTAAAATAGCTTTATTCATTTTATATTCGTTCCCTTCTCTCTTTCCACTTCCCTCACAATGTGTTATTCCTGAAAAATAATGAGCTTCCTATTACTGTTAATGAAACACCAAGGTTCTCAAATACATGAGGACTCCTCTGAAAGCAATGCCTCCCATTTCATTTTGTTGTGCTGTGACATCAGAGCAGTTTTGTGCTATGGCAGCAGAGGTTGAACCTTCCCACCAATATTCTATTATGTTTTGCTGCCATGTGACAGACGGCAGAAGAGGGGCAGCCTGACAAATGGTATCTGAAATGGAAGTGCAGATGAAGCAAAGGTGTGTCATTGAATTCCTCTATGCAGGAAAAATTGCGCCCATTTATTGATTCATGTTGAATGTTTGTAGAAACCAGCAGAGTGAGGCAGTGGGTGGTGTGTTTCAGCAGTGATGACTGAGGCAGTGGGACGACTCCCCTGGTACAGATTTTTTCAAGCTCTTGTTCATTGCTGGTGAAAATGCACAGCTACTGAGGTGACTGTGCTGGAAAATAGTGTTCTTAGCTGATAATGTGCTATGTTAAATATTGTTATTGTGCTTTTGGTTGTAGTTTCAATAGAAATAAATAGGAGGCATTACTTTTGGACCAACGTAAGTATTTTTAAAGCGTACAAACATAATAAATAGTAACTTATTTACTATATACCACAAAAAAACAGATGTTACACAACATATGGAGAACAAATATTAATTACTGAACTTATTAAGTAAGAAATGCTGATATATGCATAAAAACTGTAACTATCTAGTGGAAGTGATTGCAATGACTTAGCACTCACATAAAAATGAATGCTGCTGCCTGGGTACATTTCATAACAAGTATTCTGCTGTGTTTGTTGTTCATGTTCTCTGCCTTGGCCAATTCAGAACAGCCAGTGCTACTCTAACTTCAAACATTTGAATCATGTCAGAGTTCTCACTTACAGGAAATATGGCATTATACAAATGATGACTAGCCCAATTGTGAGCCATCTCTGCTCATTTGTGCTGCATGAAAAACTTCATCAGGACACAACATCTTGTCATTGGTATTTACCAGAACCTCTCTACAAACCAGAAACATTGTGGATATAGAAGGGTTTTCTTCCCTAGGTACAACGTACCTTCACTTTATTCTATCAAGAATTAAGAAATATAAGGGATTTTGTTATTTCAGGAGTCATGTGTACTCTACAATTTTTATTCTGTTCTAAGAAGCTATTTTAACAACATAGCAATGAACACTGCAAGTTACTTACTGATTGAAAGAGCCTGGTCCTGAGGCAGATGATTCACTGAGGACCTCAGTAATAAGTAGAAGTTTGCTTATAGCTTCCTTCATGTTATTAAAGGTTTGCTGGGGATAACTGCTTTTGAAGAACATCTCAAAAAACCTTTGCAGCTGTGAAAAAGATTACATGTATTTGCAGACATTTACCAGTACTTAACTAAACCAGTGCTTAGGGTCATAAATTTTAAGGCTGGTAGAAGCCAAAGTTGCATTACAATGTCAATTTCAGTTGTTATTCATTTGCACAGTAAAGAATGGCATGAAAAACACCACACACCACACTCGCAAAGAAGCAAAGAAATAGTTTACAAATATTAGAAACAGGCTCTAAAGCAATGCATTTAAAAATTATTGCTCACAGTATAAGCTTATTTTGAGAAAACCCTTTACTATCAATTTGTTTCAGGCAAAAGAAATCTAACACTTAATGCTTCAGCAGTAGGCAGTAGCACAGCCACAGAAAAAACCTTTTCTATTGTTAACGTACTATGCCAAGGGCTATCCCACTTGACCTTGACTATCAATTTTTACTCCAGGTTAACAAATTCTAAACAGAACCAGTCATCACAACCATTGCAGCCATCACAAACTATATTTTGGCTGGATTCTTGCAGATACTGAGGATTTTAGCCATGTGAATCCTCACAGAGAAATATTCACTGTCCTGCATAACAATGTTATCTCAACTGCTTTAATCACTCATGAAAATTCACCCTCCTGATCACTTCAGGTAGAAATCTAGGGAAAGAGAACTAGAGCAACACGGTATACCAGTGAAGAATGGGACACAGGCAGGTTTTGTTGAATCAGGAATCTTGGTGCTAAGAAAGGATCTGCCTTTGAATCATGTTTTCAGTTATGCAATTAATTCAATTATTCAATTAATTCAAAAAAATGTTTAACTATGTCAAACTGACAGATAATTTAGTAGTAATTAGTATAAAACAGATATATTTATATTGTATAAAAGTACTGTTTTCAGATAGAGTACACATGGAACATGTTTTCTACAAATACTCAGGAAGTACAAATTTCTGAATGTTTCCAGGAATTTGTCTACTAAATTGACTTAGAAATGCCATGATGCGTTTTCTACTATCACCTACTCATGCATGTCCCAGTGGCTTCTGTAGGTAGCCCCACTGGAGACTCACCTGGCTGGCATGTCCTGCAGATAGATTTACAGAGATGGCCTTTATTAGAAGTCTGTAACAAGGTTTAAAGTGATATTTTGGATCTACAGCATGAGCACAGAATCAGAGAACTACAGGATGACCAAGGTTAGAAGACACCATCTGGTTCAACCTCTTCTCAAGCAGGTGCCCAGGACCACATCCAGATGGTTTTTGAAATTCTCTGTGAAGGGAATTCCATAATCTCTCTCCTAGGCTCTTTTTTTTAGCTTGCAGACTTATTATCATCTTGGCATGCAGGTTTTGAACCCCCAGGTTTTTTTCTGCCAAGCTGCTTTCCAGCTGGGGGAGCCCCAACCCATACTGGTGCTTGGGGTTGTTCATCCTCAGGTTCAAGACTCTGCATTTTTCTTTGTTGAACTGCATGAGATTCCTGTTAGCCCATTTCTTCAGACTGTCAAGATCCCTCTGGATGGCACCATGGACCTCTGGCAAACAAGCCATTCCTCCCACTTTTGTATCACCTGCAAACATGTTGAGAGTGCACACTACCCCATCATCCAGAGCATTAACAAAGTATGTGGAACAGACGACCTAGCACTGTCCCCTGGATACACCACTAATTACTGGTGATGCACTATGATGAATTCACTGTGCTAACACCAGATCTCTTTACAACATAATTCTATGCACTCTTGTCCACAGAATTTTCTAGACAGTGTTATAGCCTCCCCATGTGAGCAGAAATACTGCCAAGGACGCTCGGTTGTGTTGGCATGAATGATTAACTTACAGTTTCTTCAGGCAGCATATTGCAATTAAATGTAATAAGTATTTTCCACTTTCCTTTTTAAAAAGCACTGTGTGTGCCTGCAGCCAGGTATGAAAAACACTCAAGTATGGAGCTAATACTGACCCTCCTTTGCACTTTGTTCTCTTCAGAGCCAGTAGCTCAATCCTGTTGGTAAATAAATAGAAGGTAGGAAGTTGGTTTGGCTGCCTACCTGTTCTTATCACATCTGGTTTTATTCTAACAAGCTTGCAGGTATTGCCAAATCAAAGAAATTTGCTCCGTGATCTGGGTGGAAGGTTTTGCAGTCACTGGGACTCTCCATTCTGCTTCTGAGAAAGTTATTTGAAATGCCAGTAGGAAATGAATATCAACAATATATTACTAAAATTTCAAAATTAAAGTTCTGACTGCCATGAATTTATAGTTGTACATATAACCTCAGCTCTGCCATTTGGATATTTGCATCCTGTTGCAATCTTGAATTACATTACACCATATTTTTATGTCATGGAGTTTCCAGGTGTACTGCAGTTCCATGAATTTCTAGGGCAAAAGAGCCCCAGAACCACCATGCAGATAGAGATTATACAAGTCTTCAGACTGTGCTACATTTCAAGGCAAGCAGGAGTACTGCTTCTCAAAGTCCAAGATCACTCATCTTTGCTTCTCCTATATTATGACAGAAAGATTCAGAACATGAAGCTGAATAGTTTTCACATCAGTTCTGATTCAGATTCATCTCTGATTGAAATTGTCCCAGTTTTGGTGAAGCCCAACAGCAATTTATTAATCAGTTCATATGAAATAAGGAACTAAGAATGAAGATTCACCTCAGCAGGATGAGTCAACAAGGTGGTTCATCAGCTTACTTTGACATCTATCTCCAACGTCTCATTCACATTGCTGCTAGATTAGCTTTTACCTCTTCTCTAGTTTCCTATGTCTGCAGTGGGTTTCGAGGGGCTAAGTGAGAAGCTCTTGCTTTGCTACACAGGGGACATAAGGAGCTACATAATTTTATAAGGAGAGAGGGAGAGAGCAATCACTAGAAAGAACAGCAAGAGGGACAGAAAAAGTCCATTAGGCCATTTGCTCATCTCCACCAATTGGTTCCTAAATACTGCAACACAAAGGATAGGCAATGCATGTATTTCAAGCCAGAACTCCTGAAAGGCAGGCTGATTTGCACAGTTTGCACTCACAGCTAAAGCAGCAAACTGCTTCCAACACAACAGACTTGAAATAAAACTGGCTTCTCCAAGGAACTGCATTTTAGTTACAGTCCTCCTTGGGCAGATTAGAAAAAAAACAACTGTGCTCAACGGGTCCTCATTATAGGATATCAGGTTTTAGGACAATGTTTATTCTAAGCCAATGACTGAAAATAAATATTTAGACAGCTTGGTTCAGGACCAACAAAGACACCAGAAAAATGCTTCAGGTTCAATTCCAGTTCATGAAAAAAATCCTGTTCAAACCAGTTCAGGTTACATTTGACTCTTGTGGATTCTACAGAGTTCTTAGCACCTAATAGGGAAAATGTAGAATATATAGACAGGGGATAAGAAATATGAATACCTACAGCAACTTTGAGTTTTTCTGAGTGTTTCCAACACTTAGTTCTGTTCAACTGCAGAATGCTGAAGTCACTAAGCTGAAGATTACTACAGATGATGACTACTGAGGCACGTTCTCCCACCTTCAAGGAAACAGACCGCCTGCCCAGCAGGGTTCAACCTCATTATTGACTGAGGTTGAATAAAAGCAGCACAGAATAGCAAAAGGGGACAGAATGGAAAAAAAAACTAGTGACAATCACAGGAATTTAGTCTGTGAGAAAGCTGACCTATTGCTGGCAGATTTTTGAGCAGAGGAACAGAGATTAAATTTTTAGTAGGCTGTAAAACCTAATGTACACATGGACATACAATTGTACAATGACACCATTGTGTGCAGAACTGCAAGAGTTCTCAGGAGCTTGGAAATGTTCATCCACGTGCTGGATGCTTATAGTCAGGGGTATATTCCACATATTTACATAATACCTTTCAGAGAATGTGCAAATCTAGTTAAAGCACAGGGATCAAAACATATTTTCTCCAAAGGCAGTCTGAACTAGGAATGTAATTAAGATGAGTTTTAACTCATTGATCTTTACCTCACTGATAACTGTTTTTGCTTTAGGATAAGCCATTGGAGAAAAAAAAAATAGGTAACAGTATTAAATTTAAAATGCTTTTTCTCTATCCACTTTGAATTTTATTTTTTTTTTAAATCTGAAGCCATTAAAATAAGCCTTATGATTTCACTGCAATGGATTCCATGCACCAGTACAGGTTGGGGGATGAGCTGCTGGAGGGGAGCTCTGCGGAAAGGGACCTGGGTGTCCTGGTGGATGACAGGTTGGCCATGAGCCAGCAGTGTGCCCTTGTGGCCAAAAAGGCCAATAGCATCCTGGGGTGCATTAAAAAGAGCGTGGCCAGCAGGTCAAAGGAGGTGATCCTCCCCCTCTACTCTGCCCTGGTAAGACCTCATCTGGAGCACTGTGTCCAGTTCTGTGCTCCCCAGTACAAAAAAGACAGGGATCTCTTGGAAAGAGTCCAGCGGAGGGCCACGAAGATGGTGAAGGGCCTGGAGCATCTCTCTTATGAGGAAAGGCTGTGTGAACTGGGTCTGTTCAGCCTTGAGAAAAGACGACTGAGAGGGGACCTGATCCAGGTCTATAAATATCTAAGTGTGGGGGGCAGAATGGCGAGGCCGGACTGTTTTCAGTGGTGAGTGGAGACAGGACAAGGGGAAACGGCCGGAAACTGCAC